TCATAGATTTCTTTTTCATTGGAATGTTGGTGAATAATTACTGTGTTCTTTTGGAAGTGTTATGTTTCCTTGCTTTTTTATGTTTCTTGTGTTCTTTCATTGATATCTGTGCATCTAGTGTAATAGTCACTTCTTCAAATTTTAAGGATTGGCTTTCATAGGGAAAATACTTTTTCCTATAGATATATCTATTCTTTTGGTTGGGTCCAGCACTTTGGTTTTGATTCTGGATGGGTACAGTAGCATAGTTTCTGTATGATTTCTTGGGCTGTAATCAGTGTCATTTGTGTCTGTGAGCTTCTCAATGGCTTAGGCTGTGGTGGTTAGTGGAAGCTGTAGTAGAACTTTGTTGGGGATGAGGACACCAGGTAGAGGCCAGTCCTTGGACAACAGCAGGCTGAGTGTGCTGATCCTTAGGGCTTCAGGCAGCGTTCTGTGCACCAAAGGTAGTGAGTCTGGACAGGCTGATCCTTAGGCCTCCAGGCAGTTTACTTTGGTGCCAGCAGTGGCAGCAGTGTGCTGGGTGAGTAGATGGGTCCTTGAGCCCCTGGGCAGTGTGTTTTGGTGATGGTAGGAGCAGCAGTGGGCTATCCCTCTGGCTCCCAAGCAGCACGCAGAATGCTTATGCAGGTAGGGGGTTGGGGTGGGTCATTCTCCAGGCTCCCTGATGGTGCCCTTGAGTGCAGGCTGTGGCGAGTGGGGTAGGCTAATCCCTAGCCCTCAGACAGCGTGCTTGCGTGCCATTCGTTGTTGTAGCAGTGGAAAGCTGTGTAGACTCATCCTTAGGCCCCAGGAAGGTGTGCACGAGTGACAGATGGGCAGGTCTGCTTTCAGGTTCCCCTCATGGTGTGTGTGGGTGCCAGTGACAGCAGCTAGGGAGGGCATAATGTAGCATGCATATATGTGAATATATATAAATAAATTTTGTCTGTGGGGAATAATTGGCATGTGACTTCAGTACTTCTTGTATTTTCCTTTTATATATTGAAGAACTAAGTATTAAATAAACAGAAAACAAAAAATAAAAACTCAGTGATGCATGCCTTGTTGACCTTGTGCTCTTTCCCCTATCCTTTTATCCCTCTGCAAATAGGCATCAGGGCAATAACATCATTACTAGTTGGGTAATAGTTTATAGACTTGTTTTCAAGACCAGACTGCTAGGCCCTAAGTGTCTTCAAACCCTCTATTTCAGGAAGTTAATTTTGATTTAGTTGAATGGTTTTATGGAAGCTGGTTGTGCATATGAAGGAATACTCACATATCATTTATGCTTTATAAATAGCAACACAGACCACTATTTAAAATCCTAAAAATATTTGTGATTCATAACTCAAAATTGTTTTCTCTGAATCATTTGTAAACTTTCCCTAGGTCTATAATAGATCAGAATGAATGAAATTCTAAACCTCTACCCTCTGTTTTTGCTGTATCAGACATTCTTAGCCCTAATTAAAAATATTATGAAGGTTTGACATTGACTCTAGGAGGGATTGCCCAAATACATGTGATTCTTATGGTAAATGTTTCTGTTGTCTACAGTAGAAATACAATGCAAGTCACAAATGTGAACCACATGTATAATTTTGAATTTTCTAGTAGCCATATTAGAAAAGTAATAACAGGTAAAATTAATAATATATTTTAAACTAGTATGTTCAAAATATTTCGACATGTAATCAGTATTAACAATTATTAATGAGATATTTCTTTTTGTATTAAGTCTTGAAATCTAAGGGGTATTTTATACTTATAACATATCTCAATTTGAACTAGCCACATTTTACTTTTTGCATAGCCACATGTGACAGGCAGCTACTGTATTGGATAGTCCAGGCCTACTGCAAAAGTGCATAATCAGTACATCAGATTGTAGAGCTTTTTCTTAAAGCTTTCCATACTGCCGTGTCTCATCCCTCTGTGTCAGTGGTCCTATCTCCCCATCCCTCTTCACAGTCTTTCTCTGCCTCACTTCCATCTTCATCCCATATTATCCTCTCTTTGACACTTTCTCCCTTTTATGCCACATATCCTCTCCTTTCTGTCAAGTTATCTTGCATGTTTTGCTGAGATTCTTAGGAGAGAAAGTTCCATTAACAGTATGATATCCTACCTCCACACAAAAAAATGTGTTACTGAGGAAATGTGAGCTGATCCCAACAGTATCAGTACCCTGGGGGAAATGAAGTTCTTCCTCCTCTAGGAAAAGTTAGGAATCTCTAGTGATAGTGGATTCTGAGTGATAGAGGAAGAACTGATCAGAAGTATGTAACTTGTAGCCTTCATTTGTTTCATGAAATGTAGAATAAGAATTATGGTTTTTGCTGTTATTAACAGTTTTTAATCAGTGTCAGAAGCCAGATATTTAATAGGTACCTCAGAAATGAAATATAACTATACAAGTTTAGCTTTGCTGACTAGGTTAGAGCAAAGGAGCATAATCAAATTTTCTTACCAGACTATCCTGTCGTTTCTTTCCTTTTTATACCCCCCCCCCCCTTTTTTTTTTTTGATACAAAGTCTTGCTCTGTAACCCAGGCTGGAGTGTAGTGGTACAGTCTTGGCTCACTGCAGCCGCGACCTCCCGGACTCAAGCTATCCTCCAGCCTCAGCACTCCCACTCCGAGTAGCTGGGATTACAGGTGTGTGCCACCACATTCGGCTAATGTTTTGTAATTTTTGTAGAGGCAGGGTTTTTCCATGTTGCCATGTTGCCCAGGCTGGTCTTGAACTCAAGCAATTTGCCTGCCTGGGCCTCCCAAAGTGCTGGGATTACAGGTCCGTGCCACTACGCCTGGCCTATAACATTTCTTAGGATTTATATTTCTAAGATATTTTGTGATTTACGTTGTATCTTTCACAATGTATTATTTAGCCCCAGTTTATAAATGTACAAACATGCAGTTCCTTGTTTTGTTTGGGTTTTGGAAAGTAACTCAAAGTCACTGCAGAAAATGAAGAAAACAATTTTACAATAACCTCAAAAAGAATAAAACATTTAGGAATACATTTAACAAAAGAGATATAAAACTTATACTCTGAAAACTGTAAAACATTGTTGGAAGAAATTAAGGACTTAGAGAAATGGGAAGACACCCCATGTTTATCTTCTGCAGAACTTAATGTTGTTCACATATTTCCTAAGTTGATTTACATATTCAGTGGAATCCCAGCTGCCGGGTTGGCAGAAAATTTTTTGCAGAAATTGACAAGCAGATCCTCAAAATCTGTGGAATGCAAAGCGCCCTAAATAATCGAAAGTGATTTTGAAAAGAACAAAGTTGGAGGACTCAGGCTTTATAGTAAGCTTCTTGATTTCAAACAGTACTATAAAGCTACAATAATCAAAACAGTGTGGCACTGGCATAGGGATTGAGTTGCAAGTTATCGCAGACTCTTTTTGTCCCTGGCCTCTGAGTTATTCCAAACTGTTAACACTAGTCTACTCTAGATGTTTAAGAATTTATTAAAAGTTTAGCTGATATCTTCTTGGCCCACTTATGTGGTGATCACTTCTCCCAGTGGTCTGCCAAAGGCAAAACAGTTTATGTATTCTGTTTCTCTTTGGGAGAGACTTGTCATTATATGGATTTTAAGATAACCAGTTTCCCTTGTTATCTTACAAACTCAGCTCTCTGGTAAACTCAAGAAAAGTTATGATTTTATAGATCAGCTGGTCTTTTCTCTTGTTATGGTGGGAAGAACATTCTCTTCTGCTTTCTACATCCTAAGCAGAGTGGAACTAATATGGGGTTTGGCATGTAACAGACTTAGTGCTTGGTTAAAATTGGTTTAAAGTGGGTTGAATTTACTGAATACTTATGTGCCAAGCAGTATGCTAAGCATTTGCCATATCATCTCCTTTAGTCCATGCACTTAATCTATGAAGTGTAGGTATTGTTATTATTCCCATGTTTTACATGTAAAACTGAGGCTTAGTAGAGAAAAGGAACTGGAGTACAGGAATAAATAATAGTTTTTATTGATATTATCCAAGTCATCTTCCTCCTTCTCCCAAAAAAACTCTTGAATCCATTTTTCAACTTCTCCAAGGAAAGGAGATATATATTCCTGGCATTGCAAGTTCTTATTTTCCTCAGTTGATGGGAAAAGAGACACAGTATTAAAACCAGAGAAAGCTTGAAGGGACCTCCTTGAACTTTTGATTAACAGAGAGAGAGAGAGAAAAAAATTATCTTAAGGATCTGGTGGCTTTGGGTCATCAGCAGCGTCTAGGTTTTATAACAGGTGAATGACAGAATGACTGTCATGGCTTTGCTGCCACTTTTCACTTTCCCGTTTTCTTTCTTTTGCTTCCAGTGTGATTCAACTTTTTTTATAGGGTGGTAGAATTTTAATTTGTTACCTCCTTTATTAATTCCTTCACTAGCCTGCTATATGCGCATTCCTTAAGGTAGGTCTCGTGCTAAGGACATTAAGTATAACTACTTGTACCACTTAATTTGTCTCAACAAATGTCTTTGTAAGCTGTCTCCTCACCCTTTAATACATTCAACAAAAAGTGAAGTAAAAAAGTTTTTTTTTTATTTTTATTTTTTAATTTTCTTCATTTTTGTTCACTTCCAGAAAAGAAACTATGATATGAGCCTGGTCAGTAAGCTCAATTAAAATAAATATTATTAATTAATCTCTTCAGCTATTATCTGAGCATCAGTTTCCAAGATGTACCATTTATAACTCACCACAGTATTCAGTCTGTGTTTTCTCGTGTGCTGGTTAGAGATGCAAGTTGAGTTTCATGCATTGCCTGTCTGCTGGAATTTTAACATTTTTTCAACTGTTCCATATGTATAGTATAAACTGGGTGATAAGCACCTGATCATTATTGTATCTATCAGTAGAATTAATACAGAGACTATGCCAAAGGTTGAGGAATAAGAACATGTAGAGAAAGGGAGGAGGATTGTTTATATATAGGAATATATTTTACAATAGCCAGGTTAAATGTAACCGGCACTTATGTGCTTCTTCCTTTTTAGTTATCAGGGAATACGAAGGGCAGAGAGAGCATCCAGGAACCTAGATTTGATTACTACAACCATGAAGTTCCTGATATTGACCTCAGTGATTGTGAATTCCCACATGTCATTGAAATTTATGACTTTCCCCAAGAATTTCGTACTGAAGACCTTCTACGGGTTTTCTGCAGTTATCAGTGAGTATGCAAATGATTGTGGATGTTAGGGAGTGTGAGATGAAGTCTTTAAAAAATGTTTTCTGAGAAATCATCTCTTGTTTTTCATATCCCCTGTTTTTCATATTTTAGCATCAGGCTGGTTTATTGTCTTTTCCAGGTCCAGTAGAAATTTTCTATATTAAACTACTGTTCTAAGTTCTTTAAAAATGTCAGATAGCCTTTCTAGTCCCCATTTTAGCATTTAAAAAGACTCTCATCAGTGATGACTTCATGGTGCATTTAGTCCATTGATATTTATTGTAATTGTTGATATATTTGGATGTATTGTCAAATTGCCTGCCATCTTTATGTGTTTACTTGTCCCATCTTTTTCTTTCTTGCCTTCTTTTGGGGTCACTGCAGCCTCAACTTCCTGGGCTCAAGCAATCCTCCCAGCTTATCTTCCCAAGTAGCTGGGACCACAGGTGTGTGTCACCATGCCCGACGAATTTTTGTATTTTTTTTGTAGAGACAGGATTTCACCATGTTGCTGGGTTAGTTTCAAACTCCTGCACTTAAGCCATCTGCCTACTTCAGCCTCACAAAGTGCTGGGATTAGAAGTGTGAGTTACCACGCCTGGCCTCAACTAAATTTTTACAGACACAATAACTCTTCTTTTTTATGCTCTGCACCTGTTTCATTGGTTTAATTTTATTTAATTCCATGGTGAAAATATCAACTCACACTGATATAAGTGGGTTTGAGAACACTTGCCCTAACCCTTGGTGTGTGTATAGCTGATACTTATATAGGAGACGTTAAAAGAGTTAGAAGTATATACCTCTGTATATTTAGCTTACAAGAAAAAATAAGCTTCAGGAATAAAGAGATGATAATCTAGAAAGAAAGTTATTAAGAAGATTTTCAGGGTCTGGAAGAAAATCAGTATCAAGAAGGATTATACTTTAATGTTTCAGTCCTGATATTTAAAATGAACCAGGTCTGTAGTGTGATATAACAAATTTAAATTTAAAATTCACCTTGAATGTGTAAGATTCTGTTATAAGTCAGGGTATAGCCCTTAACTTTCTCTTAAAGGATAAGTAAATATTTTAGACAACTCTGCCATTGTTAAACAGAAGCAAGCAAAAACAGTACATAAATGAGCATGGCTGTAAACTAAAACTTTATTTATAAGAACAAGTGTTCTGTTTTCATATGAAGTTCTAAAACAGGCAAAACCAGCAGCCATGTACTTGTTTAATCAGTTAAACGTAATTCGGCGGGGAGCATCAGTTCTATAACTAACAGAAGGAAAGGGTGAATAGATCCTGGAGGACAGTTAATCTCTGCCATAAACTTTAAATGTAGAGTGTGTAGGTCAGTCTTATTTATTAGAATTAGGCTTAGATCTAGTATCAGAACCTGTTCAACATAAAATTCATAATAGATTTTTTAAAAGCAGTCAGAGGGATCCAATCCCATTAGAACTACCTTAGACTGTCGTAAATGATGATTCATAAAACCAAGGATCATTTTGTTGATGTCTAGAATTTCGTGAAGATTAGTTAACTCTTATAAAACTATTTACTTCCCTTTGCTTTGTTTCTTGATAATCTCACCCTCAAGACCATTTTTCTATCAAACTTAAAAACATTCTCCAAAGAGAAAAATTTTAAAGGGTTATGAAATTTTGAAGTAGAAAAGGCCCTCTGGAACCCATCTGTGATTTATAAAAATGAAAAAAAAAGGTCATGGTGCAAAAGCCTGTAATAATGCCTGCGAGTCAAATTACAGAGTCAGCTTCATGTTTTAATCACCATCTTCATCAATATTAATATTGATGAACATTGCTATTAATAATAAAAGTAATGAACACCATTAATTTATTAGATGCCCATGAAGTGCTCAACACCATCATCTTTGCCTTGTCATGGATGATCTCATTTCCATTTTCACAACAGCTCTATGGGGGACATACTTTGCTCATTTTTACAGATGAGCCAGCCTAGCTTCAAGAGAGGTTAAACTTGCCCAAGGTCTCAAGGTGGCAGAACCCTGAGTCCATGAGCATTTTTAAGCTCTTAGCTGAAAAATGTAACTGTTATGTCATCATCCTGACATTCCTTGTGCTCACTAGGTAGCTCTTCTCCAAAATAAAAGTGTTTCTGTAGTACTTAAGTGTTCATTCTTTTGATCGTTTCTAATCTGGTCTGATATTTCTCTTATCATGATTTCTTTCATCCTGAATTTTTCTGACTTTGCCACACAATTCTTTCCTATATTTTTCTTATATTTTTAACCTCCCTTCTGCAACAAGTGAAGAACAGATCAGCCTCTCTGATTATAGTTGCCCCCTTTTTTCCCCATTACTTGACTTTAAAAAAAAAAAATTGAATGACATCTTGCAGTATAATCTCCCCTACCCCATTCTCGCATTCTGTTTCTGTCTCTGTCCTCAAGGACAGAGTTTACATTTGCATTAAATCCAGGTGACCTTCCCTGCCTACCTACTCTTCTTATATTCTAACCCTCCTCTGCTTCCTCTTTCCATTTCTTCTCATTCCCTGCCCATAAGAACGTCTCTTGTAAAGAGTGCATTAAATACTTTACATCCCCAAGGGACTTGTGAGGATTAATTAGTTGATGTCTATAAAATGGCTGAGAACGTAAAATACTCCTGGGTAGTTCTTTATGATGGTATTATTGCTTTTAAAATTCAATGGCTTCTTCTGTCCTCCAAGCTGTTTTTGGTGTCATTATCCCCATTCCACCTGTGCACTCGTTGAGTGTTTCTATCTTGTGAAATGCTTTATGAGATTCTATTTGTGAGATGTTTCATAAAAGTAAATTTTATTTTAGGAAATAAAATTTTTTTTGTGTGTTGCAGAAAGAAAGGATTTGATATTAAATGGGTGGATGATACACATGCCCTAGGAGTATTCTCCAGTCCAATTACAGGTATTCACCCAATGGCTTTCAATCTTCCTTTCTTATTGTTCATTTTCTCATGCTACTTTTTCTATTTCCCTTCTATTTGAGAAAGTTGGCATTTTATTCAGCCAGTGTAGGTAATAGGACAGATAGTGGTTTTTTTGAAGTAAGATACTTTGGTACCCATTCTCCTCTTTCATGTTAGTCCAGTGGTATTTGGAGAGATAGAGTCAACACCTTTCAAGGTTATTTGTACACATAACTGTCATGATAGTACATAAACAGATTAAGGTAGAGATTGAAGAATCCAGTGGGGCTAACTCTTACAATATTGGTGATTTTTTTTTTTCCCCATCCCAGACAAGTGAATTTAAGTAACACTTCAACCTATCTAGTGAGAAGTTATAATACATACTCTCTGAATATATGATTGGGCCTTTTTACATACATCATTGGCCTCATGACAGATCTGATGCAGAGGCATTCAAAGAAAATAGAGATATTAAAATGTTAATTCCTGTCTGAACCACCTAGAATATGGGTCTGCAAAATTATTATATAAAGGACCAAACGGTAAAAACAGTATTTTAGGCTTCGTGAAGCATCAGTCTCTTTCACTACTTAACTCTGCTGTTGGAGCAAGAAACCAGCCATAGACAATATACAGGCCAAATGGGCATGGCTCTGTTTCAGTAAAATAATAAAATTACTTTGTAAATAAATATAAAAACAGGTGGTTGGCTGCATTTGGTCACAGAGCCATAGTTTGCTGATACCTGATCTAAAATAATTACTGCCTCTAGATCTTAGTCTCTTTTGCTTGCTTTGAGAAAAAAAGCATAACATCTAGGAAATACTAAGAGCCATCCCTAGTTGTTCCTTTGCATCACTGTACTTCATGTCTTCTGCTTCCTTTTATTCCTCTTTGCAGCTCGTGATGCGTTGGGTATTAAACACACCATGGTGAAGATTCGTCCCTTGTCACAGGCCACGAGAGCAGCCAAGGCCAAAGCTAGAGCTTATGCTGGTGAGTCTATAATCTCTGGGTTTTTTCTTGCTGATGGTGGTATTATTATTCTTTCCAGCAGTTTTATAGCATCCAGACATCTAAAGACATATCACTTTTATTTTTAGTGTTAAAAGAAGTATGTTTTTAAGAAAAAATAAATAAAAGAGAAATGACCATGTTGGAAATATGGCATCTGAGCAGCCACTTGGAGAGTCTGAGAACTAACGGCAGGCAATGCAGCAACCAGTTTCTCATGACATCCCTACCTAGTTTACCTCTGTGTTTAACTGCCTGATAGAGTCACTGTAAGATACTGTGTTAATGCAGATAATGAAGCCAGGGGTTTGTGCTTTGCCATGTTAATTTTCTCTGATCGTCATCTATCAGGCTTGTATTAATTACTGCTGATGCAGCCCTTGTTAGTCTATTTTGTATGTTAATTACTGAGTTAAATCACTTGAAGCTGGAGTGCTCTCTCTTTACTCCCTCCTACTCCCTCCCTTTCTTCCATTCAGAGTTCCTCCAGCCAGCAAAGGAGCGTCCTGAGACTTCAGCAGCCCTAGCCAGAAGGTTAGTCATCAGTGCCCTTGGGGTTCGAAGTAAGCAGAGCAAAACCGAACGAGAAGCAGAGCTCAAGAAACTGCAAGAAGCCAGAGGTGAGCTGAAAGGATGGCGTTCTTCTCTAGTCCCTTTACAGCTCACTATAAGGCGTGTGTTTAAAAAAAAAAAAAAGAATGAAGCCCATTCCATTTTGTCATTTCTGTTTCCTAGAAGCCTCCTAAGTGTGTAGAAAGTCTCATGCCTTACGTTCAGGAGAAGACGTTTCAGGATTTGTCTGCCTGTTTAACACACCAAAACATCCTAATCCACGCTCCTACTGTTGTTTTCCAAGAGATAGGTTTGGTCTTCTCAGCCCATCCATGGCTTTTCCTACAGTTTTTCTCTGAGAAAAATTTTCCTGTGAAAACTTACAGTGTCCTAGGCAGAAAACATTTGCTATGGTTTTACTGGGCCACAATTGCCATGATATTGCCCTAATATTACCAAATGGTTTAGATCTGAGGTAGAAGACAAATTTAGGAAAAACCAGCAACTGACATTGATGATAACAACTGTAGGAGGTATTTTTGTCTTTTTAAGGCAGTCCTGAGTGGCTCCATTAGATTTACCTGTCTTCTGATTATTTTCCATTATCCAAGCGTTCTCAGAAAAATATTTCCCCTGATCCACAAGCAGAGTTTTTATTTTCTTATAGTTTGGGGTTGAAGTTAAAATCTCTCTGTCTCCTCTACAGGCTGTTGAGTTGTATGTAAAGGCTTGGGACTCTGGTGTGGCACTTAAGTACTTTTTATCAACCTTCAGGCTTTAGACAGTCTCGTTGCCTTAGCCCACAATCCCTGGAATCTGTGAAGGCAATTTATTCTGAAAACTCCACTTACCGAAAAGTAACTTCATTTTTCCATTAAACGAATTGAAGTTTCAAACTCCTTGTTTATTGCTGGCCTAACAAGGCCATTAATACTTCCTGTCCTCTCTGCTTTGGTGATAGCAGGCAGCTTGCAGACTCTCAGCTGCACTGGCCAGATAACCAGTGACAGAGTGTGTCATGGCAAGTGCTAGAGTTTCAGAGTTGAACCCAACTAATTTTTGAAACCTTAATGACTATAATGAGGCAGTTTTGATGTTTTCCAATCATTGTTTACTCAAAGGCCTCCTACGGACTATAGAAACATAACTGGGTTCCTTGGGTTTTTATAGATGGCAATAACAGAACTAGATTAAAGATGAATGTGCAGTGTCCTTAACCCTTTGTTAATTGGTTGTCTCTGAAGAAAATGATTTCTGTGTGATAACAGTGATATCTATAAAAAGGGATATGACTCCCTTTGCCATGTTATCATCCTTCTCTGTGGGTGTATATCACCTGTATCTCTACAGATCCTGCAACAGTGGTTTTGCGTGGATATCATCTTGAGTATTCCCTTTTCTTTCTCTAGGCGCATCAGCATGCAGCTCCACTTGAAGTATTTGTTTTAAATGTCTGGCTATACAAAGGACATTTCAGTGATGCAATTAAAATTGAGACTGTTGACTAAGTGGGTACTCTATTGCTTTCCTAAAGAAGGCCTTTATTTGTGAATAGAGACCCACTGTGATAAGTTCCTCCTACCTACTGGTGCTGAGGCTGTATGGATTATAGAGGACTCTTCCTTTATTATGCTCCAGGGTGCTACCATTCTTTGTATCTGAGGAAATGCATCTGGAAAATTTCCTGATGTATCTCTTTCTGGCCTCTTTCTGTGTTGGGCAGATACTTATATGCTTGCCTGCATGGAGCCCAGGCTTTAAAGATTTTTTTTCGGTAGAAACTTTACTGTTTTAGGTATTAGACTCTGGAATCGCACTTCCTGGGTCCACATCTTAGGTCTGCCATTTACTGTCTGTGTGACCTTGAGAGGGTAGGTAAGTAACTTACTTACTCTCTGGAGGCCTCTGTTTTTTCAGACTTAAATGGAACTCAAGCGAGCTAATCCATGAAGGATACTTAGTCATCTTCAAAAAACCATAGGTACTCTCTTGCTCCTGTTTCTACAGGCCTATAATGAGTTATATGATAAGTGTTAGCTGCTATTGTTTTTGTTAGTAATAATAGTAGTATCATTATATGGTGAATCCAGCACAGATTTCAGTGCATACTTTTGTCATTAATTACTCTTTTTATTTTAAAATTCCTATAATCGTCTATTAGCTCCATGTGGCATTCACTGAGCACCTGCCCTGTGCAAAGCATTGTGTTCCCTATTTAGGAGAATTAGAAAGGTGGCAAGATTTTGTTCCTCTCCTTAAGCCTTACAATCTAGTGGAGATAATCTGCCTTGAGTAGGGAAGAAAATATGTTCCTCTTTTGGGCATTTTAAGCAGTTGTTTTTCCTCTCACTTCAGTTCTGTAGATTTTAAGATTAAAAACCATAAATGATTTTTGTTGATTAAAAGGACAGGAAGGAAACTCCATCATAACTTACAGGTTATGATGATTCTGTGTTATGATAACTCTGTGACCAATGATACCATCTTGAGTTTAGAGCTGACCCAGAGAAGTTAAGTAACTGGCCTAAAGTCACCCAGCTGGTAAACTGAAAGAGAAGGCATCTGACTCTAGGTACCGCTGATTAATAAAACCCATGCTTCTTCTGTAATACTGTAATCCCTCTTGAAGGACTTTTGGAGTTACTGACATTTTTTCCTAGAAAAAAATACTTACATAAAACATTTTTTAAAGTCTCCAGGAATAAAATATGACAAACTTCTTTATTATCTGTACCAATGGTTAGTAGCTTTTCACTCTCAGAAAAATCTTCCTTAGGTCTGACTTATAAATCTGCATGATAGTTTAAACCAGTGTCCTCTTGTTTTTTCCTTAGTAGAAATAGAGAATATCTGTGTACTGTTTTGTTCTAACAACTTTAACTATAAAGATCAGGGGCAGATTGTTTAGAAATGAGGAAATCTGGGCTCTAATAGAGCTTTTGCCATTACCTAGCTGTGTGGCCATGGGCGAGTCAGATACCTCTCTGCACCCCCTGGTTTCCAGCAAAGTGAAAGTACTCCTCAGCCTACCTAATCATGGAGAATGTTTTGAGCACAGAATAAGTTAACATATGTAAAAATGTTTGGTAAAGTGCTTTACAAATTCAGGATACGATTATTGATATGACTGTTAAGAATTTAATGTTCATTATAATATGAGCTTGTAATGACAAATATGTATTATATGCTGCTACTCTCCATCCATTACACATGGCAGATATTGTTAAATCAGTCATGACATTCTTGGTGAGTTTTACATGACCATTGCCAAGGGATCAGAATTAGCATGGGAATTGAAATCTGTATATCTTCCTGTTATAATATGGTATGATAATCTCCCAGCCTTTCTTTCTCCCACTTGAAGAGTTCTGCTGTCTGGCAGCAGTGCCTGGTACATAAAAAGACACTCAATACATGTTCATTGACCAAATACATGGATGACATTGGTTACTCTAAGTTTTCTTTGTAAATCTTGACTGTATTCTGAATGCTAAGCCCTCCATGTTTTTCTTTATAAAACCCAGAGTGTGAAACCTTCCTAATTAATGAATTTTGAATTCGTGATTTTGAGTTTTAAGTACTTTTCTGCTACATTTTTCACTCTACTTTGATTATTTATTTATTGAGACATTTATTGAGACAGGGTCTCACTTTGTCACCCAGACTGGAGTGCAGTGGCACGATCACAGCTCTCTGCAGCCTCAACCTCCCAGGTGCAAGCAATCCTTTCACCTCAGCCTCCTGAGTAGCTGGGGCTACAGGCATGTGCCACCATGCCGGCTAATTTTTTCCTTTTTGTAGTGATAGGGTCTCTCTATGTTGCCTAGGCTAGTCTCAAACTCTTGGACTCAAGTGATCTTCTGCCTTGGCCTCCCAAAGTGCTGGAATTACAGACCTGAGCCACTGTGCCCAGCCTAAAACCACATTTTAAAGACAAAACTCAGGGCTGGGCATGGCGGCTTACTCCTGTAATCCCAGCATTTTGGGATGCCGAGGCAGGCGGATCATCTGAGGTCAGGAGTTTGAGTCCAGCCGGGCCAACATGGTGAAACCCTGTCTCTACTAAAAATAGAAAAATGAGCCGGGTGTGGTGGCATGCACCTGTAGTCCCAGCTACTCAGGAGGCTGAGGCAGGAGAATCACTTGAACCTGAGAGGCAGAGGTTGCAGTGAGCCGAGATTGCGCCATTGCACTCCAGCCTGGGCAACAGAGCAAGACTCTATCTCAAAAAAATAAAAAACAAAATAAAGACCAAACTCAGGAATGTATATACAATTTTCCCATGTTCCACTCATACAAATATTGATTCCCACCTAAAACTGGACATAGATATCATTACCTTTCAGAATAAGCTACCTTCTTATTTTCAAAGCCCGCTACAATTTTATTTATTTTCATTTTATTCTTGAAGGTAGGTGATTAATTGGCTGGTTCTGAAAGCCCATCTTTTGGGTCACAGGCCTGAAAGGCAAAGTAAGTAAATAGTAATCTGCTTACCTAGTTTGATTAATTAAATCACAAAGAACTTCAAACCATCTCTGTAAGATAGTAATAAATTTAATCATAGTTGATACCTTATGAAAACCCTTTTTAGACTTTCCATTACTCTGCCTTAAAGGGCAGTGTGGCATTGCTGATTCATAATCTAGGTCTTAGGGTATTTTCTTGGTGTCTTTTCTCCCCTGATGTCTGAAGTTCATTTCTAACTACATTTTTTTTTTTTTCATTTTAATGTGACTTTTTTTCTGTGATGTAGCATTTACTCATTTTTTGGTGTCAATTGCTGTTTATTAAACCTACTACCTTTGCCTAGATCAGAGATGAAAATGTTAACCTAGGACTAACTAACTGACCAGGTCACCAGCTGTTGCTAAATAGTACATGGTTCCTTGTGTTGACACTTAATACATTGATAATTATTCCACACTCTAGAGTTAAATGCCCCCTTATTGGATTCAGACTGTATTTTTCCATATATTATGATTATATAAATATTTGGTAAACTTAAAATCTAAAACTTTGCTAAAATTAAGAGGTTAGATTACTTCTCCTTGATCTACTACATCTGTCCCTCTATAAAAGAAGGGAATAAGATTCGTTTGACCAGACGTGTTCTTCACGAAGCATGTTGTCTCTTGTTCTGTAGGTGACTACAGTGGATTTTGTGATTATTTTTCATAGACCTAGAAGTAATTTTGAAAGTCTTTAATTTACATCCTCTGTCTTTGCTTTTTTTAAAACATGACACCAAACTGGCCCTTTTACAATCTTCAGGGCTTCACATTCTCTTACGTAAAGTCTTGACTGCACTGTGATTGCAGGCAGCTCATTTAATATAGTCATTTCTGTTGATTGATTTATTATATTGGAGAATGAAAGTTTTCAGGGCCAGCCGATGTGAATGTTTTAGGTCAATCACTTTGTGCTGAATTTTCTATTTTTTCTTAATTCCTTGCCCTCATGTCTACTGTTGGGCTTTCTCTTGATTGATTCTTTTAATTATTGGAGGTCAAGTTAGTAGGAGCTTTCTTTCATGCAGTTTATCAGCTATTATCTGCTTTCCTTTCTCTTTAATAAAGGGACATGTTTCTTTGTCTTTCTGTTCATACAGTTTTTTTTCGTATTTTTTCCCTTGTAGATATTTCAGATGTCAGGATAGTAGAAGGTGTGCTGGTGAAGAATTAAGGATCTGGGTCCTAGATTCAATTCTTTCACTGGCTGTGTAACCTTAGGCAAGTCATTTCAGCTCTCCGAGCTTCTGTTTCCTTATCTTTAAAATAAAGAAATTATTATTTCCTGTCCTGACCTACATTTCTCTATTCTATTCATGTTCTTGTATTTCTAAATTTACACCTCCCATTTTCACTATTTCTTTGTGCTTCTCAATTTGTCTTCCTACTCCTACTAGTTTTTTCATATGGCTTACCATTAGAATCTACTTACTTTTATTAGAAAGTGTTGGGAAATGTTTCAGGTCGGGCACAGTGGCTCATGCCTATCATCCCAGCACTTTGGGAGGCTGAGGCGGGCAGATTACCTGAGCTCAGGAGTTCAAGACCAGCCTGGCTAGCATGGCGAAACTGTGTCTCTACTACAAATAAAAAAAATTAGCCGGGCATGGTGGCACATGCCTGTTACTCAAGAGCTACTCAGGAGGCTGAGGCACGAGAATCGCTTGAACCCAGGAGGCGGAGGTTGCAGTAAGCCAAGATCACACCACTGCACTCCACCCTGGGTGACAGAGTGAGACTCCAGCTCCAAAAAAAAAAAAAAAAAAAAAAAAAACGAAAAAAATTTCAGAATTCTGAACTTTCCAGATTTTAGAAAGCTAATATGGTATCTGTGTCTTATAACACCAAAATCAAGACACATTAATATTTCTGCAGCAGAGTGTGTGACTGTTCACATTAAATGGGATATGTTAAGACTATAAATGGCTTCGTATCCTTTCAGGTTAGATTTGCCTCCATCAATTAATTTTGGCCCCAAGCTTTAAAGAAAGCAGTAACTTTGTTTTCAGAATTGTTTTGATTTTGGAATTGTGTGTTATGGGCAGTCATATTTTTCTACTGCTCTTGGATCTCTTCCATCTTCTCATATTACTCTTATGATTTAAGTTCCACACCTTATTGAAAAATTGGAGTTCTAATAATTTACTTTTCTGGTTTCTTCATTTTTCCTTGGGATGTAGAACCAGATTTTGATTGCTTTCATCCATTGCCTTTAGATCCCCTCCTAACTTCTCCATGTTTGTAAGAATCAAGACCATGCTGCCTTCCTAAGAAATTCTGGAATTCTTTAGACCAGCCAGTTATCCTTTGTGTCTCCTAGGGAACCCCAGTGCAGTTCAAGCCTGCCTCAGTTCCAAGGCACTCTACCAGCCTTCATTCAGTTTGCAATTTGCAGACCACTGTTTTTTGCCTCAACTTTGCTGCTATATTCAGATAATGCCACAAGATGGTGCCCAAATAGCAGTGAATTTCTTTTTCTCATATTTCCAAGTGCCAGTCAGCTTCATAACCAACTTCTTTGCCCTTAAAGTGTAGTCAGATATAGGGTAGGAATGTTGTAAGGGATTCTGCTGATGAGGAAAGATATATCAGAATAGCAAGTGTTTATTCTAAATTCATCTCGATTTCTGTAATCTCCCTGATTCATGACTTGCTGAATCTTATACAGGCATTATCAATTTGGAACAATAAGAAGGAAACATTTAGGCTTACCATCTATCATGTAGGCTTATCACCATTTTATGGTTTCAAGATAAATGACTAGCTATGCAATTGGAACTGGTATTGTGGCACCTAAAGGAGTGCTTGAGTCACCAGACTGTTGTATGGTCCATATTTTCTCAGACCTTGGTGAAAGTGTTAAATGGAGAACCAAGCTTCCATATTAAAAATTGAAGATAGATTATCCAAATTTGTATATTTTTTGTTTTTAGAAATAGTTTTAGTTTTCCATATTGTAATTGTATATTCCAGAAGATTTCTGGCTCCTGGAAGTGCTCTGAAAATACTGAAATTTGGTTTGCCTCTGAAATATTTTTTCAATAAAGTTGTAGAGGGGAGATACGAGTAAAGCCCAGGGGCTACCATTTCCATTTAAGCAACAAAATAGAATATCAATACATATCCTTGATACCTGTTGAAATATTTATAAAGATCAGTAAGCTGGGAATAATGGGCAATTGTGTTGAAGCACTAAACATAGTTGAAAAGTAGAATTTAAATATGTATTATCAAGACTGGAATCTGAGTCCTACTAGATTCTGACTTATTCCATATACTTCTATTAGCCTCAGATATTTTTTATTATATAGTAATAAATGTAATGACTTATAGTAGTATCATTTTCACTTACAAAGCACTTAGGAAGTTAAAGGAATTAACTCTTGGAATCAGGTAAGAGAGACCAAGATATCCACTTGTCTCATGACGAAAGTTTGCCTTGTAATTTGGATTAAGGGAAAGTCATTGATTATATGAAATAGACAACCATGGTTAACACTGCTCTTATTTACAGAGAGAAAGCGGTTGGAAGCCAAGCAACGAGAAGACATCTGGGAAGGCAGAGACCAGTCTGCAGTTTGAACATCACTCAATGAAAGGGATAATTCCATGAATCAGAAAATGTTTCCATAGTCTTCAGATAAGAGGATCCTTCCAGAGCTCTGTGTACATGCAGATGTGCATGTTAAAGAGATAAAGTGATTGAGACAAGGACTGACTGGGTATAGAAGGAAGACAGACTCCTGTCTTTACTCCTAAATGCAGTTCTTTGGAATCACCCTACTATGATGGGCATAGTAGGGAGCCATCAACTAGGAAGAAACGTGGGAGATGTGAATTCCAGGAGTCCCCTGGACAGGGCAAGTCATGTTAGTGTGGGTCACACTTCCAAGATATTTAAAGCAAATGCAAAATAGAGCAGAGGATTCAAACCGCAAGAATGGGAGATTTAGGCCCTGCAAAGGCAGAGCATTCCTTAGTACCTCACAAAACAGAATAATACTGGAGGCAGAGTAGGGGGTGGATAGAGAGTGGTTAGTACAAAGAGACAGAACAATGTCTGGTTTACTTGGCCTACACAGAATCTACACTGCTGGTTCCAGAACTCCAAAGTTGGTGAACTATAGGAGATGTGGGTAGTTAGACTCCAAAGTTTATACTGAGCTCAGTGCCTGGGACCGTTCCAGCTATACTGCAGCCAGGGGGGATGCCAGCTTCATTCCTCAGAGTAAACCAACCTTGGGAGCTGTGTGCCAGTTCCAGTGTAAGCAGTAATACCATGTTGTAAGAGCGGACATTAAAGCCCATTTTATGACATATCACTGTGGCGTTTGTTGGGTTTTGTCATTCCAACAAGAAATAGGAGAGGAGCTTTCTTCTTATCCTCATGCCTATAATGCTGTGCATAGGTTAAATGGATCTGTTGTTTTTCTTGAATCCCAGTGAGTAGAGAATTGATCTCTCTGCCTCAGTATACTACAAAAGTGATTATCCTGGGACTGGTATCTGGTAGCTCCTCTCCCCTTCATATCTTCCTTGTGCACCCTCATTCCAACCTTTTTCTTGCCTTCTGCCATCTCTGCAACTCTGATACCCTGAAGAAGACATGTGGCACGCCAGCGTGTTCTTGGTATGATCTTCTCAACCTATGCCAGAGGTACTTGGCAAGCAGTACCAGACCATCCATTACGATGACAAGCAGCCAGGATAAAATAAACACCTCTGGGCACTGAGAGATTTCCTAAAGGATGTGGACAAGTCAAAGCCATCAACTCAGGCTTTATCCATCTCATATCTGCATTCTCAGTGTTTTTGGAAAGTAGTTCCGTGCTGAAGAAATGGTAGCACTAGACCTTAGGGTGCCGAGGTGGCAAGAAATAGTGGCTCATTGTGCTTTCAACTAGGGCAACAGCCTCATGTTTTAATGATTTAGTGCCCATGACAATGATGGATTATTAGCATTATCTAGAACATGGTGGAGTAGGGCTCTATTCAGATGTTTTTCAAATGACACTAGCCTTGGATCTTGATCCTTACCCAACTATGCCTGCTGCTATTGAGATATTATAGCCTTCTCCCAGTTCCTCAGCATTGTTTTCCTCGTTCGTGGTCAGTTCTACTAGTGTCCTTTGTTCATGTTCAGTGACTCCATTCCAAATTTAAAGTTGTTCTCTTGACCCTCTCCACTAATACTTTGTCCAGGTGCCCCTCTCTTTGGCTTTTAGCAACAAGACTTCTGCTCTTTGTCTTTATGGAACAGACTTATCTAAGATAGTTCTGTTTGAACAGTACGGCTCCATTTGAAAGGAAATGCAGGGAATTGTAGCCTGACTTCATACTGAATGGTATACCTCTGAGTTATACCTTTGCTCTGTTTTGATTCTTCAAGGCCAAGAGTGACCTTGGGCAGTACAAAAGAGATGACTACTCCTGTCATTTGTCTGTGAGGATGCCTCTTTCTGGCTACACTTTAGCTTTTAAAGGCATTGTTAGTGGTAACATATAGCCCCATGTTTATTTCCCAGTTTTCTTGTAATCTTCATAATTTCAGTAACTTACTTTGGTTCTCATTCTAATGCTGTATGCTAGTAGTCTATCCTGTTTTTCAGCCAATAGTCAGCCACCTCTTTCAGATTTATCCTTATAACCAGACCCAGAGAAAGGATTTTTTTTTTTTTCCGCCTACACTTGAAAATTATGGAGTGTTGCTGCTTCTACCATTAGTAGAGAATGTGCTTTTTAGTTACATTATTCAAGCAGTTGGGATTGATGTATGCTAGCTGGAGGTAAGAGCTCCTGCTATGACCCAGCACAGACTATACTGAGCTTTTCCAGATGGGAAATAAATCCTTGGGCACATCCAAGCCATGCTTTCTCAAGATGAGTTAGCTGGAGAGCACCCTGTAGCTGCCACTGGCGCCCTTGTTAAATACTCAGGAAGATAGCTAATGTACTCTGCTGTGCATATGTGTTGAACATCTAAATCTCAGGATTACCTGGAATTTAGTAGAAAAGTACATTTCCCATGAGGTCTGATATGCTCTTCATAGAGTGAAAGTCTTTGTAGAATAAAGGTAAGTTAGGCTTCTGAAGAGTAAGCTGACATTCTTAGCACCTTAGTGTCTCTGAGGCTAAAGTATGCTGAGGTGAAAGTCTTCTGACATTTTTGGTTCTGCCTGGAATTTGGTAGTTGGTATTCTGTTAACATTTCTCATCTAGTTATAAGTCATGCCAGCCACCAGTCTTCCCATGTCCTTCCCTTTCAGCTCAGAGTTGTAACAGCACAACCCTTGTATGGCCTTTTCCAAGAATTAGAACTGACTGCACCTATCAAACGTGTGATGTGGCAGCAAGGCTGAGACCAGAGCCGGTGGCTGGCTGCCTGGCCTGCTTTTTTGGGCCCTCTTAGAAACTGAATCCAGCAAGCAGCGGCGGGTAACCTCCCTGCCTGAATCTAGTCATCAGTCACCACATGCTCCCCTGCTAGCTGCACATTCTTTCACAGACCATTAGCTGCATGTGTGAGCATAATGTTGTTACTGTTTGGGGGATGCTTGCTGGATCCAACAGGAAATCAGTCCTTCCCTTGTTTACCTAAACTGTCATGCCAAAATATAATGCTCCCTCTGCCTAATGAAGGAGACGAGGGAGTTGAGGAGAGGTAAGGTCGGGGAGAAGGAAGAAAGCACTTCTTTGTATTCACAGAGGGTTCCCCAGAACATGTCCCTTTTTACTCCCCAAGGAGGGGGTAGCTCTTGTGATGTGGTGGCTTTTGTGATGTGGTGGGGGTAGTGCTGTTGTAAATCTGCTCCATCTGCTACCATTTATTTTGGCTTTGCAGCCTTGATTATAAAAGTTTACAATCCTCAGACTTTACCTTCTTGTCCCTATCCTTCACCCCTTAACCTTTCTAACCCGTGTTTCAGCTCTGAGCCTGGGGAGGCTGACTGGGAAGCAGACTTACGTCTGATTGGAGAAATGTAGATGGGCAGTCATGAGAAGCATGTGTGCCTTGTGCATCCCAGGCCCTGGCTCTGTGGGAGGGAAAAGGGTAGGACTGTGGTTTTGGGGCGTGTACATAATCACAGCTGGTCTGGTCTTTGTAGCAGTCCATAATGAGCAACCTTTTTTGGCATTAGGGTGCCAGTCCTGTAAGGATCATCACTAAAGTTTGTCTCAGTGGAGAAAAGATCAAGAATCATGTCAAGAAGACCATGGGGTTTTATTCTACTTGAGCGAGAGAAATCACAGCCCCATCAAGCAGGAATGGTGGCCTTTCCCAGGTTCCATCCTTAACTACACTGACTATTCCCCCTTCTGATTTCTCCATGGTCTTCTGTCTCTCACTCTGCCAGACTTGTTTTCATATCTCCATAGAGATGAGTAGCTTGTTTGATGTTCTTTCCATGGCAAAAATTTATTCAATGCAAAGTTCACTTCAGACACTTGGTTGGGACTTGAAGCTTAGACCAATCCTGAGATGCGTGGTGATCCTGAGAGATCAGACTGCCTGCCAGGTAAATCGTCCATATTTTTTCCTTGGCAGAGGCCCTGACAGGGCCTGGGATCCATGTTACCTCAGCAGTCTTTCTGCTTGGCCTACTCTTGCTGCTCTGTAGGAAGGCCCTATCTGGCCATTTCTGTGAAACTTGCCCCTTCTCAAGCACTCAGTAACTGTTGGTGTTGGCCCATCAGGCAATAAGGGGATGCCCGAGGTCTGTGCTTCCAAGGATAATAGAAACACCCATGTGTGTGGTAGGATAAAGGTAAGGACACTAAAGAACAGAGTGTGAGAGGTGAGTTGTAAATAATAACAGATGAAGAAAGGATTGGATCCACCAGCTTCTCTGCCAGTTGTGATTTTGATACAAGTTGTGTTGCTTTGAGCTCCTAGCAGAGAGCTAACACTACCTGCTGTGTATTTTGGTACTCTGTCCTATACTCCTCCAAGACATTTGCAAAGCACCACTTAGATGGGGGACTGGACCATAGTCCATCCCTAAAGAACTGAAAGCTCCTGAACCCCGCATCTCTGTGGCAAGATTCAGGGATGACTGGGTTTCCTTATAGAAGAAGAGCTCAGCTGAGCAAAGCCTGGAAGCCATATTCCAGGCCCTTAGGGGGTAGGCCCAGTGCCACCCTGAAGAAGCAGTACCATCTGGATTGGTGAGCTTGCATCAAAAGGCTTCCTGAGCAGGTTCTTGGTGCCCCTTGGCACTGGCCCTTTTCCTCTGAGTTGGGACTCTGTGAAGGGCATGGCTCCAGTAAGCTGAGGTATCTGGTGTATCAGCAGCAGCTAGGAGTGTGCAGTGAGGGCTTCAGATGAGGTTGTTCCTGAGACGCTGTTCTTGCTCCAGGGAGAGTTCTGCATTGGCTGGGTATGAATTCCCTGTGGGCCAAAGGAAAACAGGTAAGCAGCCAACCTTACCACAGTCTCATCCCTTCCCTGACAACTTACATAGATCCACTTTGCCCAGCTCATCCTTTATATCAAGTCAGTCATGGCGTGGGCACAGACACCAGTCATTCTATAGAAATAGGCCTGGGACAGTTGTGTGGTTTCAGGAACATCAGGAAGAACAGGCTATTGATTGGAAAGGGCTGTGCTAGTTATTCTCCTTTGCCTCCCTCCCCAGGTTCGTTCTCTGCCCTTTTTTTCCTCTGTGCCCTAGAAAGCTAACCCCTAGCGATTACATCACTCTGGTTCCTTTGTCTTCTTTTTTTTTGTTTGAATTGGGTCAATGGAAAGCAACAGCAGAAGGTCAGAGGGTGGAATGAGAGAGGCCAAATATTCTTTCCCCTACTTTGGCCCTGTGGTTCTGGCAGTGATGGTCTTTGACTCCTGCTCCAGCTAGGTTCACCCTCCTTCACAACTCTGGCTTGCACCTGGCTGCAAAACAGCCCTTGCCCCTCTTCAAGCCTAAAGCAGGTAACAGTTTTCTACTTTATTTATGCTTGATATCTCAACACCCCTGGTTTCCTTATAAATAGTCCTTTAATTAACCTCAGACTCTTACCCGAGTGTGCCTTCTGTTTTCTGCAGGGACCCTGTTGGGTCCTAAACACTGGCAAGATGACCTGCAGGACTGCATTACTTTTCTTGTCCTTGTCACTGCCTGGGAACCCTTGCAGCCTGATTCCAGCATTATGGAGGATCTGCTGTCTCCATGTGTGTAGACTTGGATTCTAGTTCCTGGTTCCTCTCAATATCCCTGTTTCATTTAAGTGGCAGCATAATCTACTCAGCCACACAAATTCAAAACCTTAGACTGTTCTTCCTCTTCTCATTTTCGTCCATCTGTTGCCGCGGTTATTTTTTGAAAACCTAAATGATCTTTTGCCTCCTTGACTGAAATTTGTCAATAGTTCCCAGAAGCCCACAGGATAAAATCCATTATCTTAGAACTATCACAACCCTCCCTGCAAAAAGCTCTAGTACTTAGTAGGTTTGAAGTATACAGCCTCATTTTACAAAACAGAAAACTCAGGTCGTGATTTCCTCACTGTCCTCCAGCTAGAAAGTGGTGGGACTGGATTCGGGAACCAGTGACACCTTCCGAAGCCCAGTCCTGTGCTCCTTCTTTACTCCTCCCATCTTTGACGTTGGCCCCTCCTTCAAAACTCAGCTCAAACACTACTTCTGTGAAGCTTGTGCTAGCCCCATCCGGCTGCTTTCTGTCCGCTTGCTCAGCATTCAGTCCACACAGTAGTAGTACTGGGGCTATTTGCATGTGTGCATACCTCATCTGACACTTCCATTCCCAGTGTCTGGGGCACAGCGTTCAACACAACAGTGAGCCTTAATTAATGTTTGTTGACTGAATGAACAACTCTGCCCATCCCACCGCACATATGCAAGTGTGGGTGTGAATGCACATCCCATAGCAAATATAGGCATTTTTAACCCTTGAAGATAGAGGGAGTCTTTACTGACAGGTAGAACAGCCCCTCTTCTCTGACCCCACTGGATGATGATGCTTCCTTTGACTGATGCTACCAATCCTGTAAGTGGCCCTGTTTTCCATGGTCCCCTTCTTGCAAGCAGTGATCACAGCTGGAGACAGCAACACAGAGCAAGAGGACTTCTACTTTTACCTGTGAGGACCCTAACCCTAACTTCTACATGAAAGAGAAAGGAAAAATAATGGACTTGAAAAGAAAATACTGACATGGCTTGAGGTGACAGGAAAGATTCTAGGACAGATTGGAAACTCAGTTTACAATCGAACAGCCTTAAGTGCACACAGGGATGTGGAAGATGTAGTTACTGGGTGAAGCCAATGGTCTGACCAGTTCTAGAAGTCTGCCTTGTAAGATGTCAAAGGAAATGCATCTCTCTTCCATCCATGCCTTTTACAAACCACACACATACAAGTCACACACTAGAGTGTGGGAGCAGAGGGTACATTTATAGTCTTCCAGCTCCCTGAGCCTATACATGACTGGTTCCACAGTGGCTCGGAGTTACCTGTGTGGCAGTTGTGCAACCAGACCCGATGCCCATCATACTTGCAGCGGCACTGCATCATATTGTTGGAGAAATCTGACTCTGCCACCTCATAGTGGGGGTTCACAATCACCTGGAGTGAAAGAGGGGACAACTGAAAATGGATGATTTGGTTTCTGAATGAGTTGACTGTGGCTGTGATAATCCCTTACATGTGTTTGTATTTGCTTCATTAATTCTTAACAATTACCCAGGAGGTAGGCACTGATGTTCCCATTTTACAGATAGGGACTGAGAAGTTCCAACTGAGAAGCTGATTTATCCAGTGTTCACTGAATCAGGACTCAAACCCAGGTTCCCTGGATCCAGCTTGAGTGTTACTTCCCTAATAGGACAGCTCCTTTTAGTGACAGGCCTGTGGGAAACCCTATATGGGAAATTCTCCCTTCATTTGCCCGCAGGGAAAGTTTTAGAACATCTGGAGGAAATTGGGCTCTGTGGGAATCCCCCAGCCACCTTACCTGGAAGATATAGTTCCCAGGGCCCACGTCTGTGATATCCACCCATTGGCAATCAATGTCATGCCGGTAGGTGTCCCAGCAGCCTACAGTCACTCCCTGTTCCCCAAAGTTGGCACACGCGTAGCGCCGCTGCAGTCCTGTAAGGAAGGGGACAGCTTTTGAGACAGGACCAAGCGCGCTGCTAGGTCTTTCATTTGCTTTACCAGTTCAGTGTCATCATGCCTGGTTCACAGATTAAGGACCGTCAGAGCTAGAATCTTGCTATGAATCCAGCACCATGACAAACCACATTTGTGACAAAGGTATGATTCATTTGATTCGTTTGACTGCTCCAGTGCAAATCCCTGTTGAACTAGGAACTGTGGTTGGAAGATTCCAATCCTCCTGTGCTAATTTATTTGTGCATCCGCCTATCCATCCTTCCAACCTTCTAAAGATCCGGTGTTTACCATGCAGTTCCTAAGGGTTAGGGACTGCGGGTATGCAGACAGGAAGCAGACAATGCTTGCCCTCCGCGAGCTCAGCAGAGATAGGACAGGTCTGTAACTCTTCTCCAAGACAGAAAGTGCTGAGTGTTTTAAAAGAAGAACAATGTGTGTGGGGAATTCAGAGGAAGTAAAAACCTCCCGTGTAAGATTTCAGAAGGTAAGAAATTGCCTTGATTGCTAACTTTTCAAGCCAGGGTCTCCAGGTGCCTTGGGCGGCTGAACGGAGCAGAGAGAAGCCTGATCCCAAAGGGGCTGAAGAACATAACAAGAGGAGATGCTGGTAGGTGCTGACAGGAAACCACATACCTGTGGGGCAGTTTGTGTCCTCCAGACAGAAGCTGGCCTTGTGCCCCTCAGCCACCTTGGAGCCATTGAGAGTGAGGAGGTCGTAGTGGGTGAAGACCTCAATGCTGTGGTAATGCCTGCAGAAGGGATAGAGCTGTCAGTGCGGCAGCAACAGGAGAGAGGGTCCTCCCTGGAGGGGCTGGTAGGGAAGACAGGCACCAGGCCCCATCATGACCCAAGAGGAAAGTTACAATAGTAGGCAGTGCCCTTCTCCCTCCCAAACCCAAGATTAGTATAACACACAGCCTACTTTGTTGGCATCCCTGCCAGGCAGCAAGCACAGCTGCCCCCATCACCTAGGGTCTCAGCCCAGGCAAGAGGTAGAAGCCCTGCCCTGGTCGCCTCCAGGAGGCTGATGCCTGACAGCAAGGCCTGAACTGGAGGGACAGGTGGGGCACCAGGTCTATGAGCAGCCTAGGAGCTGAGCTGCTGGGAAGAGGGTCCCTGTCAGCCTGAGACCAAATTGCTACCATTGTTTCCAATCCAGTTATAATGACAGCTCTGTTCATGCTACAGGGAAAGGTGGTTATTATCTCAGGCGAGACCAAGTCCCAAAGTCATTGCCCATTCCTCTCCACTTTCTCCACCCATGACTGTGTTCTGAAGAAAAAAAAAATGCTGCCTTTGTCACAGGCATTCTCTCTCCCTCTCTCTGGTCTGGAAGCTCCTGATAGGAAAGAATGTTCATTGTCCCTTTTTTAGTGCCAGTCTGTTCATGCTGTTCTTTGAGGGCCTTGCCTTGCTGCTGAAGGAACCAGCGAGCTTTTCCTGCAGAGCCAGCACCCTGGATGGGATGTCTATTTTGGGCCTCCAGGTTCCTGGGAGTCCCCACTTTACCTGGCTTCTGAAGGCAAGGCCTGTGATCCAACATAGGAAAAGTGTCAAATACCATTCTAACAGAACAAGTCTGCTGGCGGTGACGCCTCTGTGGGATGTTGCTGGCGAAAACAGACCCCACGGGCACCACTGACATAGTGAAGGCGAGAGCGATGGAGGGGCAGGTGGATGCTGCTGCCCTCACTGCCTCCTGCAGGCAAGGCCAGCAAGGAGAGCGCATACCCCTCCCAGGAAAGCTTGCCTGTGGCCAGGGAAGGACCAAACTGCTCCCTGGACCCTGCTTTTTGTTCCTAACCCTCTAGTGCCAAGGCATGGGCAGGCTCTAACCTGTGGCACTGGTGCCAAACCCAGCTCTCGCGTCCAGTCTTTGGACGAAAGTCTGTCCGGCCCAGGTTGTAGATCTGTGTGGAGAAGCGCAGTAGGCGCCGGTATCCATAGGGCCAGTCCATGTGATCCGCAGACTTGGAGAGACAGTTCTCCTCGTGGGCACAATACAGCTGGCTGAGCGGGCGGTCCTCCAGGTAGGCTGTCTCCTGCACTAGCTGGGCGTTCATCACCAGGTCTGGTGCACCTGGGGCAGCAGAGGTCATGGCAGTGACTTAGAGGGTGGAAAGGCAGCCAGTCTTAGTCTCCAGCACAGGGCAGGCTTGCCCCCAGATTAAACCCTCCGGGAGGACCCCACAAAAAGGCAATTTTAAGAGTCAGGAGATGGTGAGTTCTAGTAACAGTTAAAGGAAGTCTATCACCTTAACCTGGGAGGCAGCTACAGTGTCATGGTTAAGCTTGCTGGGTTTGGAGCCAGGCCACCTGGGTTCATTCTTGGCTTTCTGACTGTATAATTCACCAGCTGTGTAACTGCTTAACCATTTTGTCTCTCATTTTCATCATCTGTAAGATGAAGATAATAGTGATATTAATGTGATGACACCTGTAACATGTCTGGCCCACAGTAAACATGCGGTTGAAGTAAGCTAGTATTTCTTTTGTAAAATGCTTTTAAGCCTGTAAAGTGCCTTTATGTAGCTTAGTTCATATAATCCTCTCAGAAAGCTCTGCTGATACCTAACTTGGATACTTTGCCTGTACTGTCACTAAAAATCATTATCACTAAAGTAGTCCTGGGCGGAAGTGAGGCCCTGCCACACCGCTGACCACAGCGTGCATGCCACCTGGGCAGGCCGGCCGCAGCTTGCCCCAGGCTGGAGCCATCTGCTCCTGGCAGTTGGCCCTGTGGGGTCCTGTGGTATATATTGGAGAGAGCCAGGAAGTGCCCACTGACAAAGAGTTCCTTAGGGAAAGAAGGCGAGCTTTCAGAAAGAATGAGAAGAGGGAAAGAAAGCAATGTGAAAAGCCAGGGAGGAAAAACAGGTGTTTATAGAGGCTGCAGGTTGGCTGGCTGTGCCCAGCTGGCATGAAGCATCCATCAAATGTGTTCAAGAAGAGAGCTGCCACTGTAGGCAGTGGAGCAGGGAGGGGTTCGAGGTTCCCAGGAAGGGGAGTTGAGTGGGGAGCAGGCTCCCCACGTGCTGGGAGGCCTTGGTGATAAGGAGACCCGTTCTGATGCCCCATCCCTGCAGGGGAGGGTCTGATGGATGGGCCCAGGGTTCTCACCAGGGTTCCCTGGACAGAAAGGAAACCAAGAGCTCACTGACAAAGGTTAAGGATGTCTTGGTGTTGAAATTTGGCCAAGAAGAAGGTCAAGTGGCCACTGGGTTGATGCTATCTGTAGCCTTTGGACTGGGTATAGTCCATCTTGGCACTGACCTGGTTGGGAGATGTCAGAGATGCTGCTGCCTTAAGAATCTAGGTTTGTGGGGCAGAGCAGTGCCACAGATGGCCTTGTCCCAAAACCTTTTGGGTAAATCCCACAGCTCAGGAAGAGAACACACAGCTGGGCCTTGGCCCCGGGTGTGCTCATATTTGTATGTCCTCTACGACAGCTTTCAAACTGCTTTTCTGACTACAAACCACAGTAAGAAATACATTTTATGCTGTAACCCAGTACACACATAGTTCCAAGGAAAAACTGCCCTTGCTATTTTATTTCCTGTTCCATTGTTTGAAACTGTTGTTCATAACCTAAAGTTGAAAACGGCCGTTCTGTGTCCTTGTGTTTTCTCATGTTCTCAGTGTTCTTTCTTACAGTAACTCCGTGAGGGGGCAGGGTGTGGATCGTGATGGGACAGGTGATTGGGCCACACAGCTGGGAAATGGCAGAGCTGGTACGTTCATGCCCCCATGCTGCTGGCCGTAGGCCTGGGACCAGCATGCAGGGCCTTCCCTGAGGAGGAGCACAGGCCTACCTGTCCCCAGCCCTGTGAGCCCTCTGTCACTCACTGTCCATGCAGGAGACTCCAGCCAGGAAGCGCCCACTGCCATGGGAGCAGTGCACCGGCCCGTGCCTCTGGCACTGCTGCAGGGCCAGCTCTGTGCCTGAGCAGCGCACCCCGCTCATCACCACCTCTTGGGCCCTCGGCATCCCCGACCAGTACCAGGTTTCCTAAGAAAACAGCCAGTGTCACCCAATCAGCGTGACTTTGGAGTCACCTCCTGACTCCCATCTGAGGTGTGGCCCCAGTCATACCACCCCCACCAGGTTGTGTCCAGCCTGGGCCCAAAATCTTTAGTGATGAAAACCCATATTCCCTGGGGCAGTCCATGACATATTTGGACCCTTCTGATGTTAGAAATCCCTTCCACGTATGGAAGTAAAAATCTACCCACCGTGGCTTCCACTGCTAGCCCTACACCCCTCCCTCTTCCAGACGGCAGAGGACGGTCCTGTTCCCCATCCTTCTGCCCGGGGGCTGTGCTCCCATTTCCCCAGCTGCTCCTCAAGCAGCCCAGATCGTCATTTGTGCTCAGGGTTGCCCAGTCCACATTGTGCAGCAGCCCAGTGTGGGTGCAGGTGCAGAGGTTTCTCTTGCAGTCACGCCTAAGTCCTCTTGATTTTATTTTTTGACGTATTTTAGATCTATCCACTTATTTCCCCTGGACTGCCTGGTCCAGTCTAGCCTCATTTCTCACCTGGGCTACTACAATAGCCTCCTGAGTGTGTTTCCTTGCATTCATGTTAGTCTCCACCCAACTGTTTTCCAAACAGCAAGGGAAGAAATCTTTTAAACATGTGGATTGCAAGCTTTGAGTGATCTTGCCCCTGCCTCCTCTGCCCTCATGCTTGACAGCACTCTCCAGAGCCACTCTACAACCCCTGGCCCTGATTTCCTCAGCCGAATCAAGCTTTCTCTGGCCACAGGGCTTTTGCATAAGCTGTTCATTCCTCCTCCCCCTTGTCTGACTACTATTCATCTTTCCTGCAGACACAACTGTGTCCCTCATTGACCATTTCATTAAGGACTGTGTCTTCTTGTTCACCACATTGTTCCCAACACTCGGCATCATGTCAGCTCATAGTTTCACTCAGTAATGAATTGCCAAATGGGTAAAGAGGCAGCAGCTTTAGCACAGGAGGTTTTGGGCCTCAGTCCAGGAGGGTGAGAGGTCATGCGGAAGAAACAACACAGGGACCTACCTTGTGGGCATGGATGGCAAAACCCAGGCCGAGCTGTCGGCAGGCCACCATGGCTTCGGTGAGCCCCCAGTTTTCACTGCACACACTCCCCCAGCGTGGGACCCCGTTCACCTCCACCTGTACCTCCAACAGCCCCTCCTCAGGGATGCGCCCACCAGCCAAGCGCACCTGCAATGGTGAGGGGTGTGTGAGGAGTGGGGTAGCCTTGCAGGGAAGAGCTCAGGGCTGTGAGCCTGGAGGGCTGCCCAAACCAACTCACTGTGTCGCCCTAGACAAGATAGTCCCCTTCTCTGCCTTGGTCTCCTCTGTAAGGTGAGGACAGTGTGGCAGGTAGTCTCTAATGTCCCTGCCTACTAGAGAAATCTGACTCGAAGTGCCTGGACCAGGGGCTCTTCCTCCTGCTCTGGCACTTGCCCTCCACCATTAATGACAACTGGCAGTTTGCCAAGGGCTTTCATGCCCCTCACCTCATTCACAGTGACCCCCTGAGAGCGTGAACCTCGTTTTACAGCGGCACCAGCGACTTGCTCACAGTCCACATTAGCACTGACACTGCCCTGAGCATCCCACACAGACTCCCTCGTGCCGACAGCCCTGTGGCCGTCTTTCCCAGGCACCTTCTTTCTTAGCTTCACAGGGGACCCGAGACGGGTGTGGGAGAGCACATCCATCTGCAGAGCCCCTGTGACCTATGACATTTTGGAGGGGCTGCAGCCAGGCCGGCTGTAAGGGAAGGAGACTGGTGCCCAAAGCAGAAGCGCTAGCCGCTTCTCCTGGACCTCTCCCCGCTAGCTTGATGTGGTGTCCTGGGGGCTCCCCAGGGTTTCCCGGCCCCCAGCCTGAGGCCATGCGCAGACCCAAACTCACCTGATTCTGAAAGCCCATGTTAGGGACATTGCACCTGACAGCAGCATCATTCTCATGTTGACAGCCATTCTGGGACCCTTCTAGGGCAGGGCAGTCGCTGAGGGTCCGCTCATACCCCCTGCAGCGCACCTCACTCAGGTGGATGGGCCCTAGCCCTAGACAGGGAGAGAGGTGCTGTGTGCAAGGCTCCATCTCCGTAACCCCGCACTTGTGGCTTCCCCTTCACAGAGGGGGAGAATTTTCTGTCCTGGCCCTGTCACCCCAGGGCCGTCCAGACATGGACCAGTGGCATATCCAGGCCTTCTCACCCCTCCCCAGGCCACCTCACTCACCTTGGCCCAGCCGGGCCCCAAAGAGGGCCTCCCGAGCAGAGCCAAAGCCCAGCTGACGACACACAACACTGGCAGAGATGAGGTTCCACCTGTGGTCACAGACCGTGCCCCACTGGCGGTTCACGAGCACTTCCACCCGGCCCTCGCCCACCTGGGCCCCGGAGCGCAGGCGCACCCTCAGCTCCTGCTAGGAGAAACCTGCTTCAGGGACGGCAGAGGAGGAGGCAGCCAGCAGGGGCTGAGCCACCACAGCAGAATCCCAAACGGGACTCCTTCAAGCTCCATGGCGGTGGCCAGAACCAAGGGTGGGGAGTTCCAGTCCTGCCTCTGACTTCCTATAGCTGTCACCCTGAATAAGCTGTTTTTCTTGATCTCCATTTCTTCAATAATCAGTCACCACCGCAGCCTCATCAAGGATGTCGTCTCAAGTGTGGCGCTGAGGCGTCTGTACCACCTCACGAGGCCACCCCAGTGTGGCGCTGAGGCGTCTGTACCGCCTCACAAGCACTTGCTGATCTCCTCTTTATAACCGAGGAGCAGGCTCAGGCTCAGTACTGGCCCTCAGCGGGATGTAGTTAGGATTTAATTACTGTTTTTATGGTCACCTTCTATTCAAGGCGGGTGATGTCAGCTTTCCATTTATGGTAGGGCTATATATGATCCTTTTAAATGCATTCCAAGGTTCTACAGTTCTGTGATTCACTCTCCTCCTCCCAGTCTGGTTCCTCTCGCCTGCATGTCCTGGACCTCCCTGCAACCCTCACCAGGCAGGGTCCCGCCCGTGCCTCCAAGCTATGGTGTGGGTGCAGGGTCCCCAGAGCTCACCTCTGCCCGGGACCCTTTGCGTTGTGGCTTTGTCTTCGGTGGGCGGAAGCGAGGCCCTGCCACACAGCTGACCACAGCGTGCATGCCACCTGGGCAGGCTGGCTGCAGCTTGCCCCGGACTGGAGCCACCTGCACCTGGCACTTGGCCATGTGGGGCTCTGTCCCCAGGCAGGTGACCTGGTGGATCCAGAAGGAGTTCTTATTCGTCAGGCTTTTCAGCCTAGAAGACAAGGGAGATTGAGGGTGGAGGAAGGGCTGAGGGAAGAGCTTCAGGACTAAGGGAGGCCAAGGTAGAAAGGAGGGGATAGAGGCCCTTCATGCCACACCCTGTTGCTTCCTCCCCCTAGGGTGCTGCTCCTCACCTAGACTTAGGGTCCCTCATCTTCAGATCCCAGACTTTCCTGTTATGGGAGAAAACAGATAGGAGATGGAAGGGGTGTGGAAGTCCCACTCCCTGCCACCTGGTTCCTCATAGTTGTCCTTAAGTTTGCACAGGACTTTACATTTGTAAACTTGTTCATAAATCTTATTTCAATGCTGAGTTTCACAGCAGCCCTGATGGGGTGGCCACCTCACAAATAACAATTTTACAAGGAAGGCAAGCAAGGTCCCTCAGCCAGGCCTAGAGTGGGGACAGGCGGATCAAGCTTGCCCTCTCCCAAGTCCAGAGGAAGAGGAGCATTTAGGGAAGGCCCAAGAGAAGGGACCCTCTGGGGACACGTGGGAGGTGAAGGCCTTGCTGGTGAGGGCGGCCCCAGAGACACCCAGGCTATCATCAGGCCTGCCCTCCTCATGGGTGGCAGGCGAGTCAGCGAGACCTACGTGTGTAATTACCAGGCAGGGGGAGTCAGGCTGCATCCCAGGATCCCCAAGGATGGAGCCAGGGACTGGCCACCACCCATGTTTCCTCAGGACAGGGGTCCTCTAAGTCAAAGACACAAGGACACTGCAACAAGGGCCTTCTAACCCTTTAGGGAAGCAGGATCAAACTGATTGGGGTGGATGAAGCAGATGACTCACATGTACTATGGGAGATTTCTCCCTTGATGAGAAACACAAGTCTTCCCTGACACGGATCTGGCAGAACCGTGACTGTGGCTGTCGTTTACTGGTTGATGGAATCAGCTGTGACAGTTCAGCCACGTTTCTGACAATATTTTTATGTCTCCTCTCTCCAGGCCCCCACCCCATGCCTCACTTACACGCAACCCAGTCACAGCCTGGCTTGGACCAGAGCTGAGGAAATTAATGAGGGAAGAGTTGGGATATTCACAGTAGAATTGAAGATAGAGGCCCAGAAGCCCTCCCCAAAGCCCTAAAACCAGTCACTGGCTGAACTGAGGCCAGAACAGTTTGTCTAAACTCTACATGTGGGTGTCACTGAAAGTATCTGCAGGGAAGTCTAGGGTTGTAACCAGGGACACGCAGTTTTATGTTCGATTGTTTTCACGGGGCCAGGAGGGAGCGCGCATTCTGTACCTAGTCAGTTCTGTTTACATAATTCAACAGTGCAGTGTTTACTTTCTGACTGTTTCTAAGTATTTCCCAGGATCCTGAAGGTCCTCCTCATTCACTTTCCTGTTTACTATTCTGAGGCACCCGTGAAGCAGGAAATCCGGGCACATTCCTCAGTAGAGCCCGTTTTCTCTCCCCCAGTCCCAACACCTGCTGGATGTCCTGCCACAGACAACACCACTGCCACTCAGTCCTCACTGAACTCTGCGAGGTCCCACATGCCACACACATCACACACTCACCTGTGTGCACATTTACTTGCCCCTTACATGAGTCCACACTCAGGCTCATGCACACACCCTACATCGCATGCAGGCACATGCACACGCACTCAGCCTCTGCCCCACAACCCTGCCTCCTGTGGGGCTTACACCAGCCGCGCTCCTACCTGTAGTAGTGGCTGTCGACAGGCACCTCGCTGGGGAAGCCCAGCATCCCGCACACCACCCTGCTGTTGTTCATGGTCCAGCCCTGGTCACACACCTGCCGCCAGTGGCCCTCATACTTCACCTCCACGGCTCCCTCGGTCACTGGGCTATGCTTCTTGGCACTGGCAAGGATGGGCTTGAGCCGCACCTCCTCCAGCCGCCGGCCCTGCAGGGTGCATAGTCACCTGTGGGCCTCGGGACTCCCCGCTGCAGATCTTCATGCAGAAAGGCTGGGGCTTGGAGCTTGTAGAGACCATCCCACCCAGCCCCATCATTGAGCAGGCCAGGAAATTGAGGCCCAGAGAGGGGGAGGCATTATCAAAGGCCACAGAGTAAGTACAAGGCAGAACCTCAGCTTGTCTAAGCCCTTTCCCTCAGTTCCTTGAATTTGTCCAACTGGAGAGAACTAGGCAGATTTGGCCCTCCCTGGGATCAGGATGGGAGTCCTTGGAGTTTGGGAGGCTTTTGCTGGGCATGGAAGGGCCTTCTCTGTGCCACCCTGAGAGAGCTGAGATGGGCATAGACCAGCCACTTGAGACCACAGCAGGATCCTTTGGCCCACAAGACCCCCCAGCCCTAGCCCTGGGATGACTTAGACCAGTACAGAGTCCCCTTCACAACGTGTTTCAGTGACCAGCTGTCCTGAGGCTGGAGGCTGCCTGGCAGCAGAGCCCTGCCCTGCCCACTCCTGTTTGGCTTGGGCTGTTTTTAGCTCAGGGTTGTTTGTGCTGGGAAGAGGCAGCAATTGTGGCCAGGCCTCGTGGATGAGGGAGCCCCTTACCCCACTGCTGTCTCCCTTATGGGAGCAGCTTCTGTGATTCCCAGTGGGGTCAGCTCTGGTCCTCTGGCCTGCCTTGCCTCAGGCTGGGGCCCTCTATTTATGCACCTGCTGCAGGGCACACTCGGGAATCGGGGCCCCAGGGATGATGCTCAGTGCAAACTGCACCATTTACCCTTGCTCCTGTAGGCCCACCTTCTGGGAGGCTCTCTGTCCTCTGACCCAGCCCTTGGCTCAGACTAGAGCCTGAACAGCCCCCTCACCTGGGGCCCAAGGGCATTGGAGACGGTTTCAGAAAGGTAGCCACGATGGCGCCTGGGGTGGCATATCACCCCTACGTCTTCAGAGTGACTGCAGTCACTGACACCCCAGCCATTAGACCCGCACTGGTCCAGGGAGCTCTCCGTGCCCACACAGCGCACATTGTCCAGCCAGATGGGTCCTGTGGAGTGGGGGTGATGCTCAAAGATGGCACAGAGAGGCAGGTCACAGGCTCTGCCTCCTGCATAGGACCCCACACTTACCAAGTCACCCCTTCCAAACCCTGGGAGAAAGTGGCAGAGAGGAGGAAGGTTGGGTCTCCTAGGGAATTCGTATTTATAACCCTGCCCGCTATCTCCTTTGGGTACTGGGTCTTTGATCATCTGTTTTTGGAAAATGCCAGGTAGCTCTAGGAATCAGACCTGCCCCTTTGCCCATTTTTTCATTCAACATTCTCTAAGCACCCACTGTGTGCCAATTGCTATGTTCAAGGAACTTGGAGTTTAGTGGTGGTGACGGCGGTGGCCTTATTACAGGATAGAATGGGAGGGTGGGAGCAGGGGCTCTGTGCAGCTGAGGCACTCAGGAAATGCCTTGTGGAGGTCACGTGAGCAGGGTATCAAAGGATGGGTGGGTGTTAGTGAGCCCAACCCGAGAGGAGACTGTTACTGTCTCCTTGCCATCCCGCTGGGCAGCACCCGTCACTCACCCTCCCCTTGGCCATACTTGGCACTGTGGGCCCAGGTCAAGGCAGCTTCGAAGCCCAGCTGGCGGCAAGCCACGGTGGCCTCCTGGAGAGCAAAGCTGTCATCACACACGGTGCCCCACTGGCCCTGGTGCAGCACCTCTAGGCGGCCCTCCTCTGGCTTGCTCTCTGGGCCCACCAACCGGAGCTTGGTGGTGCCCAGTGACTGTGGCCTGCTGGGAGGCGGCTGGCCTAGCAGCAGCAGGAACAGAGAGAAGGTGGCTGGTGAGGACCATGGCATGGTGACTTCAAGGACAGCAGGGGCCAAGATACCTGAGGAATGAGTAAACATGACAGTGATCACCACCTCTACCCAGATCTCAGGCCTCTTCAGCAATTTGGCAGCTCCTGGCAAGAAAAACGAAAGAAGACCCCCAGAGAGAGAGAGAGAGAGAGAGAGAGAGAGAGAGAGAGAGAGAGAGAGTGTGTGTGTGTGTGTGTGTGTGTGTGTGTGTGTATGCATAGTGGCATTAATTGAGTCTGGGCCAGTTTAGCTGATTTGGTTCAAATCCACCACATTTGCCATGTGACCCTGAGGAAGTTTAAGCTTAACCTCACTGAGTCTCAGTCTCCTCATCTGTAAAATGGGGATAGTAATCTCCATCTCACAGTGTTGTTGAGTGTTAAATAAAACACCGCATGGAAAGTGCTTAGCAAAGTCCTAGCGATGGTGAGTACACAGTAAACAGCCGCTCTTACATACCTAAAGTCTTATGTGTAGGTAGACGAGGTCATCCACCCTTTGAGTCATGGGGGAGACCCCAGGGTGCCCTCAGGTCAAGACTGTCTACCCCAGGGGCACTGCCACTACCTTCTGATGTTCCTAGCAACCTAATCAAATATGTGAAATGTCGCCTTCACCCTAGAAGGCTGGAGCAGAAAGGGCTATTAGAGGGGCATCAAGGACTCCACCACTCATTGGCTGTGTGGGTTGGGGAAGTCTCTTCAACTCTCTAAGTCCTGACTGTCTCTTTTTCCGTTTTTGTTTTTTTTTTTTTTTTTTTTTGAGACGGAGTCTCGCTCTGTTGCCCAGGCTGGAGTGCGGTGGTGCAATCTCGGCTCACTGCAACCTCCACCTCCCAGGTTTAAGCAATTCTCTGCCTCATCCTCCCGAGTAGCTGGGATTACAGGTGCCCACCACCATGCCCAGCTAATTTTTTTGTATTTGTAGTAGAGACGGGGGTTTCACCATCTTGGCCAGGTTGGTCTTGAACTCCTGACCTCATGATCCACCCACCTCGGCCTCCCGAAGTGCTGGGATTACAGGCGTGAGCCACCGTACCCGGCCCTGACTCTTTATTTCTAAAGTGAGGAGATGGAAGCACGTATCATCTGATCCCTCCTGCAGCTTGGATAGCCTATGATAGCCTCACATCCATCTAGGTGTATGATTCATGCAGATTCAATACACATTTTTGGAATACTTGCTTCAGGCCAGGTGCTGGGACACAGAAATGAAGACATCAAACACCCTCCCTACCTTCATGAAGCTCAAGCAAGAAGAATTAGGGAAGCCTTTCAAAGAAGGGACACTTAACCTGAGCCTTATTGGGCAAATAAGATTCTCCCAGGTGAGAACAGGGGCATTCAAGGTAGAGAGAAGAGGACTAGGAAAGAGGGAAAGAGGTGAGTTTGTGCAAGAGCAGGAAGTGCCCTTCTCTTACCCCAGACTACAGTGTGGGGGCTTGGAGGAGAAAGAGATGGAGGGACGAGCTGGGGCCAATGATCAAGGGCCTTGTCTACCACACAGAGGGTTTGCCTTCATCCTGTAGGAAATGAGGGGCCAGGGGAGGGTTTCAGGCAGTAAACAGAGAGGGCCTCTGTCTCCAGGAGGCTGTAATCAGATGTTCTTTGGGTCCTTAGAGAGAGGATGAGGCTGGGGGCAGTTCACCTCCCCCTCACACAGCAGCCTTGGTCCTGGGACCAGCAGGTGGAGAAGGGCATAGAGGAGAGAGTCACAGCTGGTTAGAGCTGTCAGAGACCTCTGGAGCCACCAAAGCTGAAGCTCCTTCACCCCGAGGCTCTGATGCCGAGGGGAGCTGAGGCCAACCTGGACCGGGATGGAGAAGACGGGCTAAGAAAGCTCATTCTGATGAGACCTGCCTCTTCCACGGCCATGGGGGGAATCATGCAGCTCATCCGCTTGAGTGGGAAGGCTCTCACAGGCCCCTGCCACTCTCACTTCCATGGAGGGCATCTGCCCCACTCCCTCTCAACAGCCTTGGCCAGCGGGGCTGGGTGGAGTGGGCTCCTAAAAGTGCACTAGACAAGTTCCGGGAGTGAAGCTCCACGGGAATGGGGATGTGCTGTGTCCCCAGTGTCCAAAATAGTGTCAGGTGTGTAGGTGGCACTCATTCATATCTATGGTTGCATGGGTGGGAGGTGGCAGCACAGTGCTTGAGAGCACAGGCTGGACGGTCAGACTGCTGGGGTTCAAATCCTGCCTCCACCAGTTCACTTCCAAGTGATCTTGGGTCAGCGATTTAGTTTCTCCCTGCCTTGGTATCTCCCTCTGAAAAGTGGGGATAATAATAGCAACTATCTCATAGGATTTTTGTAAAGATTAAATGAAGAAACATTAAACCCTTAGAAGAGCAAGCATTCAGTAACAATGAACTACTACTACTATTATTATTATTATTGAGATGGATTTTTGCTTGTCACCCAGGCTGCAGTGCAATAGCACAAACTTGCCTCACTGTAACCTCTGCCTCTCGGGTTCAAGTGATTATCTTGCCTCAGCCTCCCAAGTAGCTGGGATTACAGGCATTTGCCAACACGCCCAGCTAATTTATTTGTATTTTTAGTAGAGACAGGGTTTCACCATGTCGGTTCTTGAACTCCTGACCTCAGGTGATCCACCCACCTTGGCCTCCCAAAGTGCTGGGATTACCAGCGTGAGCCACCACACCGGCCAACAATGAACAATTATTAACAGCTACTGTGAGAGCTATGATAGAACCATTGATCTAGATTGGTCCCACCTCCTCTCTATACAAAGAAGGAAATGGAGGCCACATCCGATCTCAACTGCAAGTCTTTGGTACTCCTCTCTGCAGCATTCTCTAGATTTGCCCCTTTTCCCTCCACACACACTACAGAGCCTAGATGCTCCCCTCTCCACTCCCTGAGACTGTGTAGGGGCTGCCTTCCCATTCTCACCTCTGCAGCTCTCCCCCTCTGACCCCTCCCATGCTTCCTTTCCAGACTGAAACACTGTCTTCTGCATGTCAGGACCTGTGGGGGCTCCCAGCTGGCTGTCCCACGAGCAGAGTGCTCTCCATTGTTTCCCATTCCCTCCTCCGTGCTCCCCGGAAGAGGAGGTAGAGAGCCAGGGACTGAGCCAAACCACTCCCCAGATGGCAAGAAAGGATGGGATGGATCAGGCTCAGGTCCCTCAGCTGCTAGGACCCAGTGGTCACACTGGGTCTTGGCTGAGTGATGACCACACCTCCTCTGCCACCCCCAGGAGTCAGGATGCTCCTATCTCTGCCACCAAATTGTGTCTGGTGTCAATTGTTTTCCTTTCTCTGAGTGTCAGCTGCAAAACCTGTAAAATGAGGGGGTGGCACTCGAGGGCCCCCCATATGACATGCTCTGATGGGGCCCAGCGTAGGCTGGGCAGGTCTGCTGTTTGGCTTGTGGCTGAAGTCCCCACCACGCTGAGGAGGTCTTATTACAGGCTGTGGACAGCCCCAGGCCAGCAGCTCCTTCCTCTCAAAGGGACCAACCTGAGGGCACGGGAGGGCTTCTGCTGTAGGACCCTGGGGTCTGGGCCAGGGAAGCTGCCTTCCATGAATGCTGCTGGAAGGTGGGGGGATGGCAGCGGGAACCAAGAGTCAGATGCAGGGAGAGCCCCTCTTATCGGCCTTCCTGCCCACTATAGGCCCCCCAGAGCTTTTGCTCACACCAAACTATAGCCTTCATCTCCTAGCCTCCAAGCCTTTGCTCTCTCTGTTCCTTTCCCTCTAAGATTGTTAAACTCCTACACATCCCACGGCACCAGCTCGAATGCCACACCCTCCATTAAGCCCTCCCACAAAGCCTTCCACAAAGCATTTTGTGTGTTTGCTTCCTGATGCCACAACCAGACTGCACGTATCTGTTCCCCTAGCACTGAGCACAGAGAACCAAGCTGTGCATCCTCCCTCAGAGAAGGAAGCAGCCTGAAAAGTGGCCGTTACTTTCCCAAATGAAGGAGAAGGGGACAGAGGAGGGAAAGAAGGTGGAGGGGAAAGAGGAGGGGAGGAAAGTGAGGATAATGATGACACATTTTAAAATACAGATTAAATACTTATCTCCATTTTACAGACGAGAAGATAAGGTCCAGGGAAGTCACGTAACTTGCCCAGTCAGGATTCAAACCCAGGCAGCCTGGCTAGACGCTGGGCTCTCAAAACCACCAAGAATGAATGTTGGAAGAGGGGGAAGAGGAAAGGAAGGCAGGGAGCAGACTGAAATTCCACCCTGTTCCGGAGGATTTATGACCAGGCCCTGATGTGAGGGCACTGCGCAGGGTGCTCTTCGCTGAATGCCACCGAGTGACAGATCCAAGACCTTGCCAGCTTGAGGCACAAAGGCACCTGCTCCAGGTGTGCCAGGAGATGCTAGGACCTGGCCTGACCTAGCACAGGTAGGGAGGGCTGGAAGACAGCAAATGCCTGTATTCAAGAGAGAGCTTGGGGGGTGCTGTCCTGAGGGCGCAGCAACTTTGGGATGGTTCATCTCTTCTCTGCAGTTCGGCAGCTCTTCTCAGCAGCCTCCTCTCCGCCCTGTGGCCTCCCCGGGGTTACTGACTCTGTGGACCTGAAGCAGTGCCAGCAAACGGTCTCTGAGCTGTACCTGTCCGGGCTAGGAAAGGGGGGGCTCAAAGTCTTCTGTCCCCTTCCCTTCCGTGTTTCTGTCACACGCCGACCCCCAACATAGGGGTCCGGTCTGGATAGTTGGAGAGCCCAGATCAGCCCTGGCTCTTTGTCCCCCAAGTCATAAGTGTGACATCTGAATCCGCCTTGCCCCTTCCCTGTCTCCTCCCTGGGAGAAGGTAGAGCAATGGTTACACACGGCCACAAACAAGACATGCAAGCACCCCTGAGGCCTGGGCGCACCACTCAGGGCGGGCCTTGGGCCAAGCTCCCAAACGTGGTTACTTGTCCAGTTGGAAGCAGGTTGGTGAGCGACTGGAGGGCTGGGCTGAGGGTCCATGGGACCCCCTAGGCCCAGTCTCCAGGAACCCTCAGAGGCCTGCAGACCCACAGAGAGACAGAAGGACAGACGGGACAGCAGAGGCAGACCAAGAGGCAGACGCAGGGCCAGGGGCCAGGGGCCAGGCCGGGCGGGGGCTCACCAGCTGGAGTGCGGACGGTCCGGGGCTGGGCGGGCGCCGCGGCGGAGCAGCGCTAACGGGCTCCCTCCCTGGGCGCCCTGGGGCCTTTTTATCCGCCTGCCGCCCGCGGCCCCCCAGCCCCGAGCTGGCCGCGGAGGAGGCCCCGCAGGCCCCGCCCCGGGCGGGCGTGGAGTCCGCGGGCGCCCCGCCCGGCCTTCCGCGCGGCGCCCCGCGTCGGGACACGGGCCAGGTGGCGGGGGCGCCCAGCCGCAGCCGGCGGGGCCGGGAAGTCCCGGGGGCGGGAGCCGCAGGGGTGGGGGCAGCGGAGTTCCCGGGAAAGGGCGGCGCGGGGCCTGCGGCTGTTTTGCAGGGAGGGCCGCTGCGGCCTCGGGAGTCCCTCTCCCAGGCACAGTTCCCTCTTTTGCCGAACGAGGTAGTGACGCCCACCTAGAGTCCCAGTCCGTGAGTCCTGCTGAGTGCCAGGGCCCCCGGCACAGCGCCCTTCGCGCGGGAGCGCCCGGCTGTCACAGGGGCCGAATCCCACGAGCTCGGTTTCTTAGGACAATGTGGACGCTCTTTCGGAGAAGCTCGGGGCTTAGTTCAGAGAGGTCGAGGTGGCGCGGTGCAGCGGTGCCCTACTGCAGGAACACGCGAGTCCCCCCGAAGTTTACTGTACTGAATACTGCCCCCCGCCCTCTGTGTGAAACTCCGCGCTGCCCTTTGTACAGTTGGGAACACTGAGCCCCAGGCAACGTAATTCTAGGAAGTTTTGGTTTGTGATAGGCAAATACACAGTGAATGCGAGAACCCCTTCACGGAGCTGAATGATGTAGTCTTGGCCCTTGTCAGACTCACGGGAGGAGGGTGTGAGTGCAGGGAGCAGGGACTGTGGAATTGAAGAAATGTGGACATGGCTGACAGAGAGGAGTCCCATCAGCTGATCTGAGCACTTAGGTGCCTGAACCCCAGTCCCAGCCCCCAGTTTCTTTACCCTAGACCTGGTCCTACCCTGAGCCTCAGTGGCCCCATCTGTAAAATGGACAGAGGGTTCTAGCCTCCTGGTTTCCTCCCTAGGCCCAGAACTGCCCAACCTGGTCTCCCCTCTTGCCCCCACCTTGCCTGAATGTCCTTCCAAAGGTTCATTCATCCCACAAGCCTTTATTGATTTTCTCCTACATGCTAGACAGGGTGCTGGAGTGCTAGACGCTGGGAGGGGGCCTTCCCAGTCTGGTGGAGAAGGCAGATGTGCAAATGAGAATAGGCCTGGACAGGCAGAGTGTGATAGAGCTAGGATGTCGAGATGGACTTTTTCGATCCTGGGTGACAGCCAGGTCTTAATGACCCTGCTGCCAGGGATCTGCCATCCACTCCTGGCCGCCCATGTCCAAGATGTCCCCCTAGTGCCCCTGCCCCACCCCAGCTGGGCCAAAACATTCCCTGTGATGAATCAACAGGAAAGAATGCTCCCAGCCTCGGGTCAGTGGCAGCAGCCCAGCTCCTCCCCCAGGGACAATGAGGCAGCTGTGGGCTTGGGTGCCAGGTATGCCTAAGCCCCCTCCTAGGGCCCAGCCACCTCTCATGCTGAGCCAGAAGCAACACAGAGGGTTCGGAAACGTGGGCTCTGCCTGCTGCCAATCGCTCACCAGGCCTGGCTGCCCAGAACTAAAAATAACCCTGGAGCACAGGGGCCAGCAGAGGATAAAGACCAGGGAATGAATGGATGTTGCCCTGAAGTCCTTTAATTTGCACGACTCTGGGCAGAGGCCAAGGCTGGGAAGCAGTGGAAGTGGGGATCTCTAAGGCATGCGCTGTGAGCCCCCAACCCTGAGAAGTGA